TTTCGTGACAGAATGACTCGACCCACTACTGGACCCCGCAGGCATAAAGGACTGGTCCCAGTTCCACCCTGTGCCTGGCTGAGCACGTTGCCGGCTGACACCCTTTCCACTTCACGCAGCGCAGGTCATGCGGCTGTCCCATGTTTTTCATTTCGTCTCGTCAAGCCACATCCACGGTAGGCCGAGCCTCATCCGCGTCCATGTTTAGCCGTGCCACATCCACGTCAGGCTGTCCCATGTTCCCAGTCTGGTCGAGCCCCATCTTAGTAAGGCCAAGCCCAGCCATTTGGTGACTGTTTTGGGACTTCAGTCCCTTGAGGGAGGGGTACTGTCATGGTTCTGTTTGTGTACTTTTGTTGGAATTGTAACGAGTACTTTTGAAGGATTAAAGGGATCGAGCGCTTCTGCAAAATTAAGGTTCAAGTATTTTTGGTTGAGTTGTCATATCGAGTACTTTTGAGAATAAAGAAGTCTGAACACTTCGATTTAAAACAAAATGTCGGGACAGTTTGATCGAGAAAGTGAATGGTTCGATTTGCGGCAAATCCCAAACCATTATGTACAAGCGTTACTGGGTGAACAAGTCAGGAATGCATGTGATGTGTGCGTGGGACGTTTGCCTGAAAGAGAACAAGAGAGTGAGAGAGAACAGTTGAAAGAGTGGATGTGTAACTGTGAGTGGAGGCTCGTGACTTCATCCGAACAGGAAATTTTGAGTGGCAAAATGGGGATACAAATCAGTAAAAAAGGTCGGACCGCGGATGAGAAGGATCCTGATAAGAAATTAACGTGTATGGACTGGAAGTTCGTAAAGAGCGAATGTCCTTTCAATATAAGACATCTAAATATGTGGGTAATATAATATGATGTTGCTGGCCAGCTAAACACACGTAAAATAGTGTACCTGCAGGATTACATAGGGAGTGTAAAAGACTATGGGCTTATTTGCTGAATTGTCAGGATATTGAACCTTTCTTTGTGAGCTTCCTGTTGGAAGGGAGTCTTATTTTGAAGCAATTCGGAAAAAGATGGCAGGTTATTTGACGGTAAATTGATGGTGTATCGGAGGTTTAGTGGTTTTGCAGATGACGAGATTAAATGTTTGGAGATAGTTAGCCTGGTTGAGAGTGATTGTGAGGTGAATATTTTAGTTTGTCGAGTTGTGTCTGCGATGAGAACGTGTGCTTTACTCATCTTTGTATGTGTGTAGATAAGCGCGGCCCATGGCGTGATTCTTGGCATCATGTTTGTTTTATCTTCCGAGCTTTTGCGGTCTAAGATGTGCAGTTCTCTCGAAAAACTGAGAAGAACCATCACGGCTGCTAATGGGAGAAATTATGGTCTTGTGTCATGAAATCATGTCAATTAGTTTCTAACTTTGCTGTCATTGAGTTGTGATGTGCCTTCCATCATGATGAAGTTTGATGATAAAAGTTGACGCTTTGAACTCCCAATCATGTTGTCAAATGTACAAGTTCATGTTGGTCTGAGTCACAAGAAATTTGAGATCTCAAGTCAAGTCATGTGTGAGTACACGGGCTGGACTTCTAAATTTAGTTCAACAATGAGAGCAGGATCTTCCAGCTTAATCGATGTGTGGACAATTTGAAATTGGCTTTGTTAATTTAGAATGGCCGCATATTTGAAGGTCAGCAGTGGCATTTTTGAACCACACCATACAGTAGGTGGTGTTTACCAAGGGCAGTAAAGAACAAACAAGTAACAAAAATGCTCTCCACACTGACTCGAATGATTCTGTTCGACAATGGATGGATAGACATTGGGTCGAAAAGACACCTGGCAGTCTTGATCAGTGCATGGGGCAAGCTCTACATGCTGAAAGAGTGTTAGAAAAAAAAGACAGAATGAATGAGCTGCTGCTCACTAACATGACATTTTTGTCACCTACTCGACATTCACCTTGCATGGCTATATTGTATTCTCGATCCCATTTAACACTGAAAGATGCACAGTACTGGTATTTAACCCTGTTACACTATGACCACTTCCTGGAGGGTGTTTGTTTGTTTGTTTGTTGAACATATGACATAAAAACAAATGCAGACTATTTTTGAGTGTATTTGTACAACTTTCAGTTTGCTCACAGACTATTTGAGCACACACGATAGCATATTTATACATCACTTTTCTCTCTTACTCAAAATCGATGCTCCATTATGATACCTCATCAATTTATTGTCTTAAATCTGATTGATATAATTATTTTACATTTTACTTTTGGATGTATTTTTGAATGCAACAAGCGAGTCACGCATTTTCTGGCCAGCACAGTGGCTAATATGATTGTCAGGAATTGGCTGAAGAAAAATAATCACAAATCTGAAAGACAAATGGTGTTCAGTTACCACATCAAATTGGAATACGTAATTGCGCGGCGCACGCAACAAGCGCTGATGACAAAACAAGGACAGATGCAGCTTCTAAATTTTTTCGGAAATTACTGACCGTAAGCGACGGGATAACATTTTACAACTCAACTCAACTGTATTTATAGAGCACTTTCAAACAGCCATCGCTGCATACAAAGTGCTGTACATGGAGCAAAATAACATAAACATCAGTGAGGCAAATCGGGATTAAGGACGGTAGAAAGCACCAAACAGCAAAACCAAGAACAAATCTAAGTCATGCTGAGTCAAATGCCAAAGAATACAATTGAGTTTTGAGGCGGGTTTTGAAGATTTATTACAAATTTATGACAAAATTTATTCAATTTGAAAATGTAGCATCAAATTCCAATAACCAACAAATATTGTGCTCAAACAAGGGAGCTGCATTGCAAAATGGGTGTCAGAGACGTTCGTTCGGACGGTCGACAAAGGCTTGAACACAGGAACAGATTGTAATTCTCTGCTGGCAGGAGGTGCAATATTCTACGAAGCCACTCCGTGTGCGCTTCCCACTGACACCCGACCTCTGCAACCTCTGCCGGCCTTTTTATTTCTTGTATATGCAAATTACAAGAAACATATCAGAAAAACACTCCCATCTTCATTAACGTGACACACCTCCGGACGGCCCCGTTGGGTCGCCCCTCAGGCGAAGCATTTTCTTGCTACCAGCACCAACATCCAGACACGTGTACATTTTAACGAGCGGTATCTCCTCATAATCTGCCTCGTGACCCTTTCCTCATGATGGAGTGTTCAAGGACTCCCTTCCGTCCAAGGTTAAATCTTCCTGACAGGTTGGGGTCTAATAGCAGACCGAATGGAGTGTGGATCCCACAAATGCAGAATCAGAGAAATGGCAATGACAAAAAAGGTTTATTACAGAAAAGCGATGGACCGACAAAGTATTCAAAAAAAGGTGCTGGCAAAACAGGGAGCCAGAGAAATAAAACGAGAACACAAAGCTGATAGATTGATTATTTGTAGTTATCATGCATTCGCAGTGCACTGTGTGGAAGTTTAGGGACGCAACCAAATTTCAGAGGACGTGGTTGGGAAGAGATAAGTGTTAAGACTAAACAGGAGCAAGGTTGGACAGTGAATGGAGCCATCAACACCAGCTGCAACGTGATGTTTTTGGAACAAATGCACACATGTACGTAATTTCCACTCAGATACACATTGAGTCAAACAAGTTCAGTGTGTCTTCAACAGCCCCCACCCTTTAGGTTGGACACACGTGTATAGTAGATTTCCCAATAAATGAGGGGGTGAAGGAGGAGATCGTTAGGGGTGACGTGCTGAGAACTGAAACCTAACGCTTCTCCTCGTTCCCTCCTGGTACCAGAACTGAGTCTCCTGTCTCCTCCTTGTGTTTTATTCCTAAGTGTCATATTGGATAAACCTGACAGAGGCTCTTGCCAATTACAAGGAGAGAATGATTTTCGAGAACATAAAACAATACAGTTTAGTCCAATAAACGAAACCAGGTGCGATACCGAGAATAAACAAATACTCACAAACCTGAACGACTATGATGAGGCGGGCGATTAGTAGTGATGTGCCCGACTGTGCCGAGGCTCCGATGCGTGTGCCGAGTAAACCGGAAGAAAATCTGCAAAGCGCGCATCGAGGCATGTGTCGATTACGCTTTTTTTGTTCGTTACGAGGCCATGAATAGTTTTGGCCACGAGAGACGGGGTTCGCCAAAAAACAGAAGTGGCCTCATCACAACACGTACTGTACTAAACACTCGCAATGACAATTCAAAGAACTCCTTCATGTCTCTATGATCCAGCCGTCATTGTTCTTTGTCTCGCTGCTTCTCTTCAAGTGCCGCACTCGATTTTTAAGGACGTACTGCTGCTGTGGTAAATGGCCCAATTTTCAACCCCTCAAAATGACGGGCGGCCTTAAATTTTCCCCGTCCACTCTTAAAAAAAATCCGTCAATGATGGAAAATTGTCGGTTAATGTATCCTCTGCAGAAACAGAAATACATGTTTAAAATATGTAAATAATGATACAGACTTGTTTAACTTAGATTTCGTGACAAAAGACAGGCTTTAATTTGGTATCACAAATCACCCCTCCTCCTCCCGAGTCATCACAAAGGAAATAGGAAATGTCGGTTTGCTTCGGGCTCGGGCCTGCAAATCAATTTATAATATAT